TAGATTATGGAGACCTGATATATATGAATGCCTCAACTCAAAGTCTCCGTCAGATTGACACTTTGTATCATTCTTCTCTGAGGTTCATTACGAACTGCAAAGCCTTGACTCACCACTGTGAAGTATATTCTGGAGTCCAGAATATACTTCTTTGTCCACAGAAGGTTTGGACACTGCACTTTCATTTATAAGGCCTTGGTCTGCTGCCATCTTACATCTGCCATTTACTCACACAAAGAGAGGTTCATATGGTTTGGATCAAATGATCTTTTGTTGCTCTCTGTTCCTTTTGCCCGAACAGAACTAGGGAAAAAAGCTTTTGCACATGCTGCTCCTACTACATGGAATGTGTTGCAAAAAGACTGGAAATTATCTGAATTCATTTCATTGAATTCTTTTAAGTCCAGATTGAGAGCACTTGAGACGTCCTCATTGAAATGTAACTGTTTTTATATTCCGTAATTTTATGAAATTTTCTGTAACTGTTTTATGATCTGTAAGTGTTTTATGATCTGTATGTATGTGACGGTGTGTAACTTTTGTCCAGGACTCCCTTGAAAAAGAGGTTCTTAATCTCAATGGGACTTTCCTGGTTAAATAAAGGTGAAATAAAAAAAATAAAAAAATACTGCCACATTTTTGCCTAATATAATCACCTTCCAAGATGGACTATAAACACATTTTGGTGGCTGAGCTGAGGTGGCTGAAATACGAGATAGAATAGATGAAAGTGAGCAGAAATACTGATAATACTGAAGTATAAATAGTATGTTTGGAAAGTTGTTGATGTAAAAATAGCCTTCTCAAAGTGGAACACCCAGACTTCCTGCGATTCTGTTACAGCCGTGTTTATCTGAACCTAATGAGAGAAACTCGGAGGATGACCATCGTTCTGGAGAGTTTCAAACAGTAAGCAGCTTTTCTGAGCTCCAGGGATCTGCCCCAAATGTAAAATGGGTCTTTGTGACAAGGCACTGAAGCGTCTGGGGAGACAACTTCACACGGAGATCACACATTATTGTAGATCTCTCTCTCTGGTCTCTCTCTCTGGTCTCTCTCTCTGGTCTCTCTCTCTGGTCTCTCTCTCTGGTCTCTCTCTCTGGTCTCTCTCTCTGGTCTCTCTCTGTCTCTCTCTGGTCTCTCTCTCTGGTCTCTCTCTCTGGTCTCTCTCTGTCTTTCTCTCTGGTCTCTCTCTCTGTCTTTCTCTCTGCTCTCTCTCTCTCTCTCTCTCTCTTTCTCGCTGGTCTCTCTCTCTCTCTTTCTCTCTGGTCTCTCTCTCTCTCTCTGTCTCTCTCTCTGGTCTCTCTCTCTCTGTGTCTTTCTCTCTGGTCTCTCTCTCTCTCTCTCTCTCTTTCTCTCTGGTCTCTCTCTCTCTCTCTCTCTCTCTCTCTCTCTGGTCTCTCTCTCTCTCTCTGTCTCTCTCTCTGGTCTCTCTCTGGTCTCTCTCTCTGTCTCTCTCTCTGGTCTCTCTCTCTCTCTGTCTTTCTCTCTGGTCTCTCTCTCTGTCTCTCTCTCTGGTCTCTCTCTCTGTCTTTCTCTCTGGTCTCTCTCTCTCTCTCTCTCTCTGTCTTTCTCTCTGGTCTCTCTCTCTCTCTCTCTGTCTTTCTCTCTGCTCTCTCTCTGGTCTCTCTCTCTGTCTCTCTCTCTGGTCTCTCTCTCTCTCTCTCTGTCTTTCTCTCTGGTCTCTCTTTCTCTCTCTGTCTTTCTCTCTGGTCTCTCTCTGGTCTCTCTCTCTGTCTCTCTCTCTGGTCTCTCTCTCTCTCTCTGTCTTTCTCTCTGGTCTCTCTCTCTGTCTCTCTCTCTGGTCTCTCTCTCTGTCTCTGTCTTTCTCTCTGGTCTCTCTCTCTCTCTCTGTCTTTCTCTCTGCTCTCTCTCTGGTCTCTCTCTCTGTCTCTCTCTCTGGTCTCTCTCTCTCTCTCTCTGTCTTTCTCTCTGGTCTCTCTCTCTCTCTCTCTGTCGCTCTCTCTGTCTTTCTCTCTGGTCTCTCTCTCTGTCTCTCTCTCTGGTCTCTCTCTCTGTCTTTCTCTCTGTCTTTCTCTCTGCTCTCTCTCTCTCTCTCTGTCTCTCTCTCTGGTCTCTCTCTCTCTCTCTCTCTCTCTGTCTCTCTCTCTCTCTCTCTGCTCTCTCTCTCTGCTCTCTGCTCTCTCTCTCTGCTCTCTCTCTCTCCTGTCTGTGGAGAGATCTTAACACGCAGATAACACATTACTGTAGCTCTGACGTGCGATGGCCGAGAATGTCGGGGGCTCGTGGGTGATGTCACTGCTCTGCCTGGAACACTCCACACTGTGTCATCATTCTGTGTCCTTTTCCCAATCAGGAAAAAATAATGCACCATCAGAGGAGAGACCATAAATCAGACAATATTGTATCACACTATTTTTACTGACTTTCTTATTGTTCTATAGAAACCTGGAGATGTATCCCAATTTGGCCTGGATCCTAAGGAAGCTAGTTTCTCTTGTAGCCTGGAACGGTATCATTTGTTTTTTAACAGAGACAGTGTACGTACGATACAAACTAGCCAAAAGGAGAGAGGCATCATACCAAGGCTTATACAGAGATGCGGCTAATATGTGTATTTTGGTTGTGGTGGAGTCGGGCTAGAGTCCACCAAGTTTTAGCAGCTACAGGACCATAAACTGTAAATATTAACGGACGTAGTCATGCCTCTCTCCGCCATGGAAACTAATGTGTCACCACTTGTGCCTTCGATGGAGCTTTTTCAAAATGGCTGCACATGTGTTAGCCGGCATGAGTCCACAGCGGCAAAACTAGACTGGTTAAAAAAAAAAAAAACTACTACCCTCAGCATTGACACACACCTGAAACATAGCATCCTTTGGACCATCCTGTAAAGCCGTCTTCGAGAGAAAGAAGACGTCATACAAAAGCATTGGGTAATTCTCTTTCCAGGTACACCCCCACCACCTGAGCGTGAGATTGCAGATTGCCAGTCCGCATGCTCCTTTCAGACGTGCTGCTGGGACCGCCCCCAATACAGGACTCTTTATGATCAGAATAGATGGGAGTCGTGGACGCTAACGGTGAAGATGCTGAACCTCATCAGTAAATCCTGCTGTGACCGGTTCGAGCAGTCGTTTCTGTTACGTTACAACAGAGCAAACATTCTTACATCTTCATATCAGCTCAGAAAATACACTCTCAGCCCAAAAACTCAAATATTGACTCTTCCTGTTCACAACATTTTACTTTTGGGCACAACTAACATGCATTACTAGCGCAAGGGAATATGTAGGTACCCCAGCTTTAATTTAGGCTCCATAGTCTAGCTCCGTTTCTTGCACAGGCACATTTTAATATTTACATTCTGAGTTCTGTGTTGCATTAAAACTGACTTTATGAATCCAGCGAGGGCTCGAAGAGAGGACCAGACTCTTTCCGTGAGACAAAGACTGAAAGGAAGTGAGTAAATAAGTAAGTAAGTAAATATCGACATGTTTCAAACTCATTCCAATCCTTCACCTCAGAACAACTCGGAGCAAGAATATAACTTTAGAACTGGTGTAGAACTTTAAAGATACAGGTGACTCTTCCTCAGCCCTCAGAGTAAACACTGAGGGTTTAGTTTGCGTAGTTGTCTAATTAGCATTGTCTACGTTTTGTGTTTACAACGCTATTTCTGGCTCGACAAAAAGTATTTATGCGTTTAACAAGGATGTACATTTTATTTATGCTATTTTTTTGGCTTTGGATTGGATTTGTGTGAGGAGCACAGGGACTGGTCTCCTGCTGGGACTCTGAGGAGCACAGGGACTGGTCTCCTGCTGGGACTCTGAGGAGCACAGGGACTGGTCTCCTGCTGGGACTCTGAGGAGCACAGGGACTGGACTCCTGCTGGGACTCTGAGGAGCACAGGGACTGGCCTCCTGCTGGGACTCTGAGGAGCACAGGGACTGGTCTCCTGCTGGGACTCTGAGGAGCACAGGGACTGGTCTCCTGCTGGGACTCTGAGGAGCACAGGGACTGGTCTCCTGCTGGTCCCAGAGTCAGGACTAAACATGGGGAGGCAGCAAAAATCTAGGACCGTCTTCCTGAAAATGTGAGACAGGCTTCTTCTCAGTTCTGTTTCACTGCAACGACTGATCTCTCTTTTCCAGCACTTTGATTTGCCTTGTCACTGTGTATAACTGTGCTATACAATTAAACTTCTTTTACCTTTTTCCTTGGTTTGGGCCTTTTTTTAAACTTTGACCCTAACCCATCTTTGAGTAAAAAATTTAGAGTCATAGATTGTTGTAAACTTATCAAAAACATTTACACAAAACAAACAGTTACTTGCATGTAATGAATGCTTTTGTCCTGATTGTGAATTAACTCAAACCTTTTCGGCCTCATCTCTCATCTGCGTGTCAGAATCACTGCACAGATGACACATTTCTCCAGGCTTGGCACTGGCTCCAACTCATGGGTCTCCAACCTATAGCTCAGGGGCTACTGTAGCTCCCCTCATGCTAAGTAGCTCCTCAATAGATTTTAATTTTTATTTACAAACTGCACATTATGCTTCAGTAATGTTTAATACCAATTCTGTATGGGACTGTTTTAATAAATGTAGTTGTCAAATTTGAAATAAAATATATAAATTAAATACTAATACACTTTTTATTGTACATAATTATATCCTGCACCATTGTGAGGTCAATAAAGTTAAAATTATATTTTCTCAGATAAAGATATGCCTCTTATTTCACCCATTCATACATAATCTGATTTACACATGTATTTTTCGCAGGATTGTGGATCATTATTTAGACTTTCTCACAACTTATTAATCTTACAGTCCTTTTTAATCCAGTAAAAGAATCTCTCCAGGGGAAAAAAGGTTGTAACTCTTGCATGATACTGAGAGGCTAAAATAGAACTCAATATAAGAGGAAATGTCATGTGGCTCTCTGCACTAAGCCTTGGTCTGACTAATATCACAGATGACGCCAAAAGCCTGGAGCACGCTTCAATATTATTCGATTACACAACAACATTCAAAAGGCATTCAAAAGACACGTACCTGCTCCTCCACTCCAGGGCAGATCTCCCGCATCCGCATCCGCAAAAGGTGCCCCAAACCCGGCGTGCCAAAGCGCTGCGATCCGGGCTTCACCTGTTGTCTTTGGAGCGAACAGGCGACACGTCCACTGCCATAGTCCCGTGGAGAGGCCATGCACTGTGGGGAAGGAGGAGGCGAGGGGACGCTGGGTGAGAGAAGTGCCCAGAGATGGAGCCTCGAAGGTGGGCTGGAGTGCGGATGTGCGGCCGGAGGAGAGTGGAGGATGTCCGGGGGAATGGGGAGGAAACGAGGCGGCCGCTGGTGGTTCAGACCCGGGGATGAGGATGGAGCAGAGCAGCATCACGTCTGGAGGATGCGTGAGGCTCGCGTGGGTGTGAGGGGGGGCAGCATCCGGCTGAGCATTTCAAAATAAAAGAGCTAGAATAGCACGAAATATGAGTTTGATTCATCACTCATTTCCAACAATTAAAATTATGATAAAAATATACAATACAATACAATTTATTCTTGTAGAGCCCTGAATCACAACAGCATCATCTCAGAGACTTAACAAAACCATTGAAATCACCAACACAGATCAGAGAATCAACAGTTAAAACACATAAAGAATATAGAACACATGTTGATAAATGTTAAAGTGTCCTGGATCATCACAGTCCTTAGTTGGACACTAACTGCCCAACAGACCCTCCTGCATCGGCAAGGAAAAACTCATACGAAAACCTAGTGGGAAAAAGTGAGAAACCTCGGGGAGACCCATTTTCTTCCCCTCAGGCAGGAGACTGCGGTCCATCAGGACTAGAACCTCCCGCCACAAGAACAGTTTCTTCCCCTCTGCTGTTGGACTCTTGAACACTTCTTAACCTGTCCCCCCGCCCTTTATAAAGTCACTTTACTGCCCATCATACGTCACTTTACTTCACTGTACTGCTGTCACCTTACATTGTGTGCACCATGTGCACTTGTATATTGTAAATAGTAACTGTAACTCTATTTTAAATTTAAATTTATTCTTTAGAAGTGTTTTTTGTTCTTTATTTTTATTATCTCTTTCTGACTGTTGCACTGAGCCAAAGCAATTTCCAAGTCTGTGACCTCCTGTTACTTTCGTGGCAATAAAAATGATTCTGATTTTTATAGTTTGAGAAAGGGATCCGCTCCCACGGACGGACGGGTTATAGATCCAGGACCTAAGCAACAGAACTGTGAGATTTCATATCACTTTCAAGCAACTTTTGTTAAGGTTAAACTCATCATTCTACCAATGTGCAGAAGCCAGTACTTTTCCACTTCATGTTTTGAGTATCTCTGCTGCACTGTGGCAGCTGCTGATTGGAGGTCTCTGTTTCTCCTGACTATATCACCAGTTGCTGTCTTTAACATCCCTTGTTCGTGTTGTTCGTGCTGTCTCTACCATCGACGATAAAACATGTCTTCTGTCTGAATGAAAGACGCGATCCAAGACTTTGTCATCTTCTTCAGAACGTAGCTTAGGAAAATATACAATATACAACATTTATTCAATATTACTCCTCCATAATCCTACATTAAAATCCAATTTGCAGTTATTAAACAGAAACTCTATAGACCCATAATAAGACACGACTCTTACATCAAAGCTGGGGGACCTAAAGAGAGAAAAAGAGACAGTTATAATTTGCATCATAAAACACTGCACAGTGCTTTGTAAACATTGATTTTAACTCTAGAAGTCCCAGGGTTTTTAGACCCCAATTTAGAGGAGGAGAAGCTAACCTGCTACTTTGGTTGCGAACGTTTTCATGTCTTGATTTGCAAATGTAGGTACAGTAATGATCGAAAACAGCAGGGGGCTGGGGGGCTTTGTTTATTCGGAGGAAGAGTTGAGTAGAGAGTGGAGAGAGTTGAGTAGAGAGTGGAGAGAGTTGAGTAGAGAGTGGAGAGAGTTGAGTAGAGAGTGCAAGAAGAATCATGCCTCTGTGCATGGGCAAGATGATGGAAGGTCATTTATGAAGAGACTGAAAAGCAAGGGTCCTATTATGGAACCCTGTGGAATGCCCATTTGTGACTCTAAAAGTGTAGATTTATTTTGGGCTATTTTAACGCACTGTGGTCTGGTCTGGAGGTAGGATGTAAACCACTGTATTGCGTTTGGGGAGATGTTAAAAGAAGACATTTAAGAGAGAAGTAGATTGTGGTTTACAGTCTCAAAAGCTTTTTTCAAATCTAAAAAGACTGCCCCCACCGCTTTACCCCTGTCCATGGACATTTTCAGATTTTTGAAGAAACAGCAGTTGGCTATTTGGGTGGAGTAACCTGCCCAGAAGCCAAACTGCTGTGGGTGTAGAAGGTGGTGGGCCTCTGGGTGGTCAGTCAGTGGCTACAGTCGTTTCAATAACTTTGGCCATAATAGGTAAGATGCCACGGGGCTGTAGTTAGACACTGTCCTGCTCCTGATGGGAAAATTGGGACAATAACTGATTTTTCCACGCTTCAGGGAATCTGCAAGTTCTAATTGAGAAATTGATAAGATGGAGGCCTCGAAATGACTAGTTATTTATTTTTTTGATTGGACAAAGTGGTTGTTAAATTCCTTGGTGGCACTGTTGGTAATCCTGTTGTCATTTTTTATTAGTCAGACTGTTTAAATGTTTCCAAAGGGAGTTATTATTATTCCCTCTAGAGTTGCCAATAATCTCAGTGTAGTAAGAGGCTCGTGCTTTACGCAGCTCTTTCATTACTTTGTTTAGAAAACATCTGTATATTTTATTGTCTGTGCAAAGTTTTGTATTTGAGGATTTCTTGAGAGCTGGGTCGCGAGATCTTGGTGACACTTGAGCACTAAACACGACCTGTACAGCTGAAAACTACAGTAAAGTTACATATGACTGTATTTAGAGAAGTAACTGAGTACAAGACACACATGTATGTATTTGTGTATCTGTGTACAGTGCATCCAGAAAGTATTCACAGCACTTCACTTTTTCCACTTTTTGTTATGTTACAGCCTTATTCCAAAATTGATTCAATTAATTGTTTTCTTATGAAGCTCTGTAGAGCTTCATAAAGGTGTTAAAGCTCTGTAGAGCTTCATAAAGGTGTTAAAGCTCTGTAGAGCTTCATAAAGGTGTTAAAGCTCTGTAGAGCTTCATAAAGGTGTTAAAGCTCTGCAGAGCTTTATAAAGGTGTTAAAGCTCTGTAGAGCTTCATAAAGGTGTTAAAGCTCTGTAGAGCTTTATAAAGGTGTTAAAGCTCTGTAGAGCTTCATAAAGGTGTTAAAGATCTACTGAGCTTCATAAAGGTGTTAAAGCTCTGTAGAGCTTTATAAAGGTGTTAAAGCTCTGTAGAGCTTTATAAAGGTGTTAAAGCTCTGTAGAGCTTTATAAAGGTGTTAAAGCTCTGTAGAGCTTCATAAAGGTGTTAAAGATCTACTGAGCTTCATAAAGGTGTTAAAGCTCTGTAGAGCTTTATAAAGGAGTTAAAGCTCTGTAGAGCTTCATAAAGGTGTTAAAGATCTACTGAGCTTCATAAAGGTGTTAAAGCTCTGTAGAGCTTCATAAACTTGTTAAAGATCTACTGAGCTTCATAAACTTGTTAAAGATCTCCCTAAATGCATTAAAACTGCTTTCACTTACAGGACACTTCCTGCTCAGTGAGGTTGGGCGGCTGGGAAGACCTCAGCCTATCCACTCGAGCCACTACGCCTCACTGCTATGATTGTTTTTGGCCTTTTAATTGGAGAAAGTGAAAAAACCTCCAAAAGGAAAGGGTTTCCCACTACCAGATGTGAGACTATCTTGGGCGGCACGGTGGCTGAGTGGATAGCACTCTCGCCTCTCAGCAAGAAGGTCCTGGGTTCGAATCCCGGTTGGACCAGGGCCTTTCTGAGTGGAGTTTGCATGTTCTCCCCGTGTCTGCGTAGGTTTCCTCCGGGTGCTTCGGTTTCCCCTACCACTAAAAATATGTACAATAGGTCTGGCATGTGCCTCCTGTACCGGCGACCCTGCTCCCAAAAATAACAATTGTAAACCGCTTTGAGACTCCGATGTGCAGTGAAAAGGCGGTATATAAATAAAGATTATTTACTACTTACTACTATCTTCAACAAAGTGGATTTACTCCTCCAGTTCAGCCTGGTTTTTCTCTGAGCCTTCACAAATCCAAACACATTTTTCTTGACCCTCCTGCTCATTAAGAAATTGCCGGAAATGTCTGACATCACTGTCGTAAAAAACCTCTCCAGTTTGGTTAAGGGTACTGTGAGATTTCATAACACTTTTAAGCCACTTTTGTTAAAGTTAAACTCATCATTCTATCAATGTGCAGAAGCCTGTACTTTTCCACTACTTGTTTTGTCTATCTCTGCTGCACTGTGGCAGCTGCTGATTGGAGGTCTCCATGCCTCCGCTCTGTATAATACACTTGCATTCTGTGTTCGTGTTGTTCGTGCTGTCTCTACCATCGACAATAAAACATGTCTTCTGTCTGAATGAAAGACGCGATCCCAGACTATGTCATCTTCTTCAGTACATTCAAGCCCTCCACCACCTCTGGAGAGAACGTCTTCTGCAGTGATGACTTTTTCTTGTGGTGGAGGCTTGTTCACGTCTTGTCTCCTCAGTGGCTTTTCCCACCTGGCTGGATCCAGTAGCGTACCTCTCCTGAATCCAGTATATCCAGGCCTCCTTATGGGCCGAACTTTAGGCTCTGAACATTCTTTAAATTGCTGTTCTCTGACATGTCCTTGCTCTTCCTGAACTTTGGCATTTTCTGGTACATTCTGGGTAAGACAACTTGTCTCACCCTCTTGACTGAGGGGAGTCGGTTCAAGCTGTGGATGTGTCTCCCTCATCTCCTGCTCGCTCAGTGGAGGCTGTCCAAACCTCTGACTTAGGCTGTTAAACCTGTCCAGAAAAACGTTGGTCTGTGCATAATCCCGCTGCATCCACTGGAGTCTGTGTTGCTGGTCTTTGTTCAATGCATCGAGTCGAGCCTGCACTAATGCTTTCTCCTTTAAAGCTAGCTGCTCTTTCAGGTTGGTCTCCCGAAGTGTTAGCTCTGCCTTCTCCTCTTTTAACTTATTTGAGGCCTTCATGCTTTCTGCAAGCACATTTTCTACACATTCATCACAAAAGGTTGCTTGCTCCTTCTCTAGGGAAGTTATTTTAGCCTTCAAAGTGAAAATCCTGTTTTTCTGAAACTGGATTTCTTTCTGTGAGGCCTCTCCCCTTTGTCTTTTTCTTTCTGCAACACACTTTCTCCTGCTCACTACACACTGTGTCATACATAAGACTCTTTGTTCATAAATGGGAAAACACATCTATTCAAAATACCAAACACCTTGTGTGATTGAACACACCGAGACACACACTTGACAATGACTTACACGCTACACACATCAAACATAAACAAACCTCAGATTAGCCATTTTCAGAACTTTGCAAGTGTTGAGGCAGAGCAGGAGGAAGAGGTGGAGGAAGAGGAAGACAAGGAGAGAGGAGGAGGAGGTAGAGGTGGAGGAAGAGGAAGACAAGGAGAGAGGAGGAGGAGGAAGAGGTGGAGGAAGAGGAAGACAAGGAGAGAGGAGGAGGAGGAAGAGGTGGAGGAAGAGGAAGACAAGGAGAGAGGAGCAGGAGGAAGAGGTGGAGGAAGAGGAAGACAAGGAGAGAGGAGCAGGAGGAAGAGGTGGAGGAAGAGGAAGACAAGAAGAGAGGAGGAGGAGGTAGAGGTGGAGGAAGAGGAAGACAAGGAGAGAGGAGGAGGAGATAGAGGTGGAGGAAGAGGAAGACAAGGAGAGAGGAGGAGGAGGTAGAGGTGGAGGAAGAGGAAGACAAGGAGAGAGGAGGAGGAGGTAGAGGTGGAGGAAGAGGAAGACAAGGAGAGAGGAGGAGGAGGTAGAGGTGGAGGAAGAGGAAGACAAGGAGAGAGGAGGAGGAGGTAGAGGTGGAGGAAGAGGAAGAAAAGGAGAGAGAGGAGGAGGAGATAGAGGTGAAGGAAGAGGAAGACAAGGAGAGAGGAGGCGAAGGTAGAGGTGAAGGAAGAGGAAGACAAGGAGAGAGGAGCATGAGGTGGATGAAGAGGAAGACAAGGAGAGAGGAGGAGTAGGTAGAGGTGAAGGAAGAGGAAGACAAGGAGAGAGGAGAAGGAGGTAGAGGTGGAGGAAGAGGAAGACAAGGAGAGAGGAGGAGGAGGTAGAGGTGAAGGAAGAGGAAGACAAGGAGAGAGGAGGAGGAGGTAGAGGTGGATGAAGAGGAAGACAAGGAGAGAGGAGGAGGAGGTAGAGGTGGAGGAAGAGGAGGAAGAGGTGGAGGAAGAGGAAGACAAGAAGAGAGGAGGAGGAGGTAGAGGTGGAGGAAGAGGAAGACAAGGAGAGAGGAGGAGAAGGTAGAGGTGAAGGAAGAGGAAGACAAGGAGAGAAGAGGAGGAGGTGGAGGAAGAGGAAGACAAGGAGAGAGGAGGAGAAAGTAGAGGTGGAGGAAGAGGAAGACAAGGAGAGAGGAGGAGGAGGTAGAGGTGGAGGAAGAGGAAGACAAGGAGAGAGGAGGAGGAGGTAGAGGTGTAGGAAGAGGAAGACAAGGAGAGAGGAGGAGGAGGTAGAGGTGGATGAAGAGGAAGACAAGGAGAGAGGAGGAGGAGGTAGAGGTGGAGGAAGAGGAGGAAGAGGTGGAGGAAGAGGAAGACAAGAAGAGAGGAGGAGGAGGTAGAGGTGGAGGAAGAGGAAGACAAGGAGAGAGGAGGAGAAGGTAGAGGTGAAGGAAGAGGAAGACAAGGAGAGAAGAGGAGGAGGTGGAGGAAGAGGAAGACAAGGAGAGAGGAGGAGAAAGTAGAGGTGGAGGAAGAGGAAGACAAGGAGAGAGGAGGAGGAGGTAGAGGTGGAGGAAGAGGAAGACAAGGAGGGAGGAGGAGGTAGAGGTGAAGGAAGAGGAAGACAAGGAGAGAGGAGGAGGAGATAGAGGTGGAGGAAGAGGAAGACAAGGAGAGAGGAGGGGGAGGAGGTAGAGGTGGAGGAAGAGGAAGACAAGGAGAGAGGAGGAGGAGGTAGAGGTGGAGGAAGAGGAAGACAAGGAGAGAGGAGGAGGAGGTAGAGGTGAAGGAAGAGGAAGACAAGGAGAGAGGAGCATGAGGTGGATGAAGAGGAAGACAAGGAGAGAGGAGGAGGAGGTAGAGGTGGAGGAAGAGGAAGACAAGGAGAGAGGAGAAGGAGGTAGAGGTGGAGGAAGAGGAAGACAAGGAGAGAGGAGAAGGTAGAGGTGGAGGAAGAGGAAGACAAGGAGAGAGGAGGAGGAGGTAGAGGTGGAGGAAGAGGAAGACAAGGAGGGAGGTATGTGAAGGAAGAGGACGACAAGGAGAGAGGAGGAGGTAGAGGTGGATGAAGAGGAAGACAAGGAGAGAGGAGGAAGAGGTAGAGGTGGAGGAAGAGGAAGACAAGGAGAGAGGAGGAGGAGATAGAGGTGAAGGAAGAGGAAGACAAGGAGAGAGGAGGAGGAGGTAGAGGTGGAGGAAGAGGAAGACAAGGAGAGAGGAGCATGAGGTGGATGAAGAGGAAGACAAGGAGAGAGGAGGAGTAGGTAGAGGTGAAGGAAGAGGAAGACAAGGAGAGAGGAGGTGGAGGTGGAGGAAGTGGAAGACAAGGAGAGAGGAGGAGAAGGTAGAGGTGAAAGACAAGGAGAGAGGAGGAGGAGGTAGAGGTGGAGGAAGAGGAAGACAAGGAGAGAGGAGGAGGAGGTAGAGGTGGAGGAAGAGGAAGACAAGGAGAGAGGAGGAGGAGGTAGAGGTGGAGGAAGAGGAAGACAAGGAGAGAGGAGGAGGAGGTAGAGGTGGAGGAAGAGGAAGACAAGGAGAGAGGAGGAGGAGGTAGAGGCGGAGGAAGAGGAAGACAAGGAGAGAGGAGGAGGAGGAAGAGGTGGAGGAAGAGGAAGAAATGTTGGTATAGTCAAAAAAAGTAAACGATTTGAATCCCATGACTAAAGAGAGAGAGACAGAGAGAGAGAGACAACAGAAAGAGAAAAAAGAGAGAGAGAGAACAGAGAGAGAGACCAGAGAGAGAGAGAGACACCAACTTGCTTCCTCCCTATTAGTTCCCTCTCTGTTTTATTGTGACAGAGCCAGACGTCCTGTACTGTCTGTGGTGATGTCACTGTGAACTTAACAATGTGCTCCTCATGAGTCTGTCAGGGGATGTTTTTGCTGCTGTACCAATCAGTTTATGATGAGAGAGACCAGAGAGAGAGACCAGAGAGAGACCAGAGAGAGACCAGAGAGAGAGACCAGAGAGAAAGACCAGAGAGAGAGACCAGAGAGAAAGACCAGAGAGAGAGACCAGAGAGAAAGACCAGAGAGAGAGACCAGAGAGAAAGACCAGAGAGAGAGACCAGAGAGAGAGACCAGAGAGAGAGACCAGAGAGAGAGAGACCAGAGAGAGAGACCAGAGAGAGACCAGAGAGAGAGACCAGAGAGAGACCAGAGAGAGAGACCAGAGAGAGACCAGAGAGAGAGACCAGAGAGAGAGACCAGAGAGAGAGACCAGAGAGAGAGAGACCAGAGAGAGAGACCAGAGAAAGAGACCAGAGAAAGAGAGACCAGAGAGAGAGACATCAGAGAGAGAAACCAGAGAGAGACCAGAGAGAGAGACCAGAGAGAGAGAGACCAGAGAGAGAGACCAGAGAAAGAGAGACCAGAGAGAGAGACCAGAGAGAGAGACCAGAGAAAGAGAGACCAGAGAGAGAGAGACCAGAGAGAGAGAGAGACCAGAGAAAGACCAGAGAGAGAGGGGGAGACAGTGAAGGAGGGTGAGAGAGAGAAAGGCCAGAGAGAGAGAGAGAGAGACCAGAGAAAGAGAGATCAGAGAGAGCGAGATATAGAGAACAAGAGAGAAAGAGTAGAGAGACCGTGAGACCATCAGGCAAAAGCAGTGATAAAATAATTGAGAAGAGAGACTGAAATCCCCATGTGGAGATGTGTCAAGATTTTGGTCCAAATCTGTGTCAAAGCATAAATCCATCAGACACCATGTGGATCAGACCAGAAATAGAAAATGAAAGTGTGACATCACAATCTGCTGGTAGAGGATTTTAGTCCTGTATCTGACGTGAACAAACACCAACTGTTTAAACACACAGAGGACGATCAACACAAAACTAAGATGGATATTGAAAGTATAATATTCATTGTAAAACAGAGAGAGAGACCAGAGAGAAAGAGAGAGACCAGAGAGAGACCAGAGAGAGACCAGAGAGAGACCAGAGAGAAAGAGAGAGACCATGGAGAGACCAGACAGAACAGAGAGAGACCAGAGAGACAGAGAGAGACCAGGGAGAGACCAGAGAGAAAGAGAGAGACCAGGGAGAGACCAGACAGAACAGAGAGAGACCAGAGAGACAGAGAGAGACCAGGGAGAGACCAGAGAGAGATATACAGTAGAGAGTAGGGCCAGAGAAAAATTTAGACAGAGGGAGAGGTGGAGACCAAATAGGCCAGAGAACAAAAGAGAGAGGGAGACACCAGAGAAAAAGAGAGACCGGAGAGAAATATAGAAAAAGGGAGGTAGAGAAAGAGACACAGAGAAAGAGAGAGACCAAAGAGAGAGCTTGAGAGAGAGCATACAGACAGAAAGATAGAGAGTGGGGGCAGTGAGAAAGAGAGAGACCAAAGAGAGAGCTTGAGAGAGAGCATACAGACAGAAAGATAGAGAGTGGGGGCAGTGAGAAAGAGAAATAGAGAGAGGGAGAGACCAAATAGACCAGTGGAAGAGAGAGAAACCAGAGAAAGAGAGAGATAGAGAGGCCGGAGAGAAAGATAGAAAGAAGGAGGTAGAGAAAGGGAGAGAGAGGGAGAGAGAGACCAGAGAGAGACCATGAGAACGAGAGATAGAGAGTGGGGCCAGAGAGAAAGAGGGAGAGACTGAATAGATCAGAGAAAGAGAGAGATAGAGACCAGAGAGATAGATAGAAGGAAGATAGAGAGATAGACACAGAGAGAGAGAGAGAGAGAGACCATAAAGACCATATAGAGAGTGGGGCCAGAGAGAAAGAGAGATTGAGAGAGAGGGAGAGACCAAATAGATCAGAGAGAGACCAGAGAAAGAAAGAGATAGAGAGACCAGAGAGAAAGATAGAAAGAGGGAGATAGAGAAAGAGACAGACAGAGAGAGAGAGAGAGAGGGAGAGAGAGAGACAATATTTATGAATACAAATCTAGGGGCCCCAACTTTAATCCTCCTCTGTAAAATAGGTCCATGATGTTTCATTCTTTCATTCATTCATTCAGCAGTCTGTCACGTGACTACAGTCTGTGTCGTCACGGGGTGGGCGGGGCCTGCTGCTGTAGTCCACTTCCTGGTTTCTCCGCTCGCGGATCAGCTGCATCCACCCTTCTCCCACCTCAACACAATGTCTCACCAAACGGGCATTCAAGGTAATTCCAGCTGTTTTGCTCCACTGTCCTCCCTCTTTCACACACACACCTCGTTTATTACACGCTTTGATCTCTGCTTAACATTGCTCAGTGTGACGCTAAGCTAATGACAAGTTAGCCTCCGTGTGCTAGCTCCGACTGCTGCCACCGAGTTCCAGGACTCTGCTGTGCAAATCCAGGGGTTTTATTTTATCCTCTGCTTAAATCTGCTTGAACATGGCTTTTTAATCTCTACCACGGGACGGACGTCATATATGTATTTCAATGCTATTGCCTTTAAAGGTGATTTAGTAGTAGTAGTAGTAGTAGTAGTAGTAGTAGTAGTAGTAGTAGGGCTTCCCCCGTTGTTGAATGGATGGAGGGCGACGCCTTTTCTATTTATTATACTAAAATGCTGGGCTGGTAGTTTGGCAGGTTTTCACGTAAATAAAAGGATTGCCTGGCCAGAACAGCCTGTGTCATTATGAGTCTCCACAAATGTTCCCTTATATGGGCATACTCCAGTGTTGACAAAGCTTGTTGACCCAGATTTTACCAAATGCACTGTGATTATTGGTACTACTAAGATTCAGCAGGTGTATTCTGTTTGCATTTACTGCCCTGTCTCTCAGAGTAAGGCAAGGTATGTTTATTGTATAGCACAGCTTATACACAAGGCAAGTGAACAAAAACAATCACACAAAGGCAGTAAAATTATAAATAATCACAGTACAATATAAAGTGTGGAGATAAATTCCTTCAGTTGTTGCAGCGAAACGGAACTGTTGCAACTTGGTTTTGAACATTGTCAGAGTGGAAGCCTGTCTCACATTTTCAGGAAGACTGTTTGAGATTTTTGCTGCATAAATATGTCACCCTGCTTCAGGAGCAGGAGGCCGGTCCCTGTGCTCCTCAGAGTCTCAGCAGGAGGCCAGTCCCTGTGCTCCTCAGAGTCCCAGCAGGAGGCCGGTCCCTGTGCTCCTCAGAGTCTCAGCAGGAGGCCGGCCCCTGTGCTCCTCAGAGTCTCAGCAGGAGGCCGGTCCCTGTGCTCCTCAGAGTCTCAGCAGGAGGCCGGTCCCTGTGCTCCTCAGAGTCTCAGCAGGAGGCCGGTCCCTGTGCTCCTCAGAGTCTCAGCAGGAGGCCGGTCCCTGTGCTCCTCAGAGTCTCAGCAGGAGGCCGGTCCCTGTGCTCCTCAGAGTCTCAGCAGGAGGCCGGTCTCTGTGCTCCTCAGAGTCTCAGCAGGAGGCCGGTCCCTGTGCTCCTCAGAGTCTCAGCAGGAGGCCGGTCCCTGTGCTCCTCAGAGTCTCAGCAGGAGGCCGGTCCCTGTGCTCCTCAGAGTCTCAGCAGGAGGCCGGTCCCTGTGCTCCTCAGAGTCTCAGCAGGAGGCCGGTCCCTGTGCTCCTCAGAGTCTCAGCAGGAGGCCGGTCCCTGTGCTCCTCAGAGTCTCAGCAGGAGGCCGGTCCCTGTGCTCCTCAGAGTCTCAGCAGGAGGCCGGTCCCTGTGCTCCTCAGAGTCTCAGCAGGAGGCCGGTCCCTGTGCTCCTCAGAGTCTCAGCAGGAGGCCGGTCCCTGTGCTCCTCAGAGTCTCAGCAGGAGGCCGGTCCCTGTGCTCCTCAGAGTCTCAGCAGGAGGCCGGTCCCTGTGCTCATCAGAGTTGGTTCTTATGGCACTAACATTTCACAGATGTACAATGGTGCCAGGCCTTGGAGAGACTTGTAACTAGCAGAGCTGCTCCTGTTACATTTACAGCCCTATCGCTCATAATCTCTATAGATCATTAAATAAATAAAAACATTGACTCTGTATTATCAGACTTTAGGCCAACACCTGCATAGTATTAACACCTCAGTATTACTGCATTACTACTATCTATTCGGGGCCCAGAGTCAGGCCCAGAGAAGAGATGAAGCCAAGATTCCAAACCCACATTAGGTCCATGAGCCAGACAGCCACAGCCGACCCCTGTTCCCAGTCCAGAGGGCTCTGGACCTTGGTAAATTACCACTGTCCAGCATCTACTGCTCCTGGAGGTTTCTCACTTTTTTTTGAGTGGTTCAGAGTGGGGGCGGGTCCCGGCTCAAAAGTGGCCAAAATGACGTGCGCTGACATGCTGCAATACCACCCCGGGCCGATGGGGGTGTACCCAGAAGAAGAATTAGCCAATGCTAACATATAGCATTAGCTGACCTCTCAAAAACGTCTTTACAGGAGGGTCCAAAAGTTGGCTCTTGGCCCAAAGCTACTTTTCCTCATGTGTGTCAATGCTCAGGGGAGTGAATTTTTTTGGACCATTTTTTTGGTCTTGTTTAGTCGCTGTGAAATTTTGAAACTGCCCATAGACCTTGGAAGTTGTGGCACATTAGTTAGAACGGCGAAGATAGGCGTGACTACACCTGTTAATGTTTACAGTCTGTGGTGGTTCCTCTCTGATGCAGGAGTGGACCAATGGCTCCTATGTGGTTGTTATTATTGCAGTTCCTGTGTTTGCACTGTTTGATTCTCTGGAACCTGCTGTGACTACACCTTATGTATTTACTAGTGCTGTCCAACGATTAAAATATTTCATCGCGATTAATCGCATGAATTTCATAGTTAACTCGCGATTAATCGCAAATTAGTCACACATTTGTATCTATTCTTTATGTCCCTTGAATTATCATTTTAATACTACTAAAAAGTGAATAGGCATGCTGTGTGCAATTGCTTTTTTTAATATTTTGTAAATTTGTTCATGTAAATACTCTATGCTGTTTCTCTGTTTACTTTCGGTATATCTATGACTGTATACTGTTTGCTTGTATTGCCTTTTTTATTAACCCCTCCCCCCATCTCCCACTTCATGTCCCCCCCCTCCCCCCCCTCCTATGTGCCCTTCTGGGTTTCTTCTTTGGCCCCCTGTATCTCCACACTACATATTGTTTGTAATCTCTGTCTACAATGGGCCTCATTCACAAACGGTTCTTAGGAACAGATTTGTACGTAAATCCTACTTACGAGGTTTTTACGAAGAAAGTGGCATTCACGAATTTTTCTCGTAACCAGAATTTCTCTTGGGCAAGTACAAATCCTACGAGTCCTCAGGAGCACTCGTACGCATTCAGTGCCGACATGTTCACACGCCGGGGTTGTCCTCTTTGGTGAAGTTTAATAAAAATACAACATTCCAGTGATATGTCCGTCATATCGATGTATGTATTTATTTATTTGTAGTAATCTTTATTAGTAATCTTTATTTATATACCGCCTTTTTCACTGCAGATCTGGCCTACTTTTTAATTCATTTTGAAATGAAATGTGCCAACGCTTTATCAAATACATTGGAAATCTTGCCGTGTATTAGTGACCCCTTCCTATTTATAGGGGGCATTTCTTTATCCACGGGCCACAGAACAACGGCATATATACTGCTGCTGCAGGAGGCTGCGGGGTCCGCGCTGAGTCTCTGCGCTGGTCTCTCCTATGGATCTATACGGGTCTGCACTGGTCTCTCCCATATACGGGTCTGCACTGGTCTCTCCCATGGATCTATACGGGTCTGCACTGGTCTCTCCCATGGATCTAGACGGGTCTGCACTGGTCTCTCCCATATACGGGTCTGCACGGGTCTCTCCATACGGGTCCGTGCTGCATGCTCCTGGATCCATACGGGTCCGCGCTGGTCTCTCAAGTCTGGTCTATGCGGTCTCTCTTCGGTCCGCGCTGGTCTCTGCGCACCGGTCTCTCCAGTCAGGTCACTCCAGTCTATGCGGTCTCTCCTATAGGTCCGCGCTGGTTTCTGTGTGCTGGTCACTCCAGTCTCTCCTCGGGTCTGCATTGGTCTCAGCGCTGGTCCGCGCTGGATCTCCTCCCAGGGTCCAAAATATTTTGAGATTAATCTCAAAACATTTTGAGATTCATCTTTAAAATAATACATAATATATTTTTAAATTTATCTCATAGCATTTTGAGATTAATCTCATCATATTCTTAGATTAATCTCACAATTTTGCTAGTTCGACTTTATTATCATAATATTTCGACTTTTAAGTCAACATTTTATAACTTTATTCTCAGTCTGGCAAAAGAAGAAAAAAGGGTGACTCTTTTGCTCCGTGTAACTCTTTGCTTTAGGCCTGTTGCTGTTTCCTCTGGCGTCTGCACACGGCCCTGCAGTCCCTTATATGGGCATTAATGGGCGTTTACTTATGCTAAGTACCTATGCTAATGAAGCACCTGGCACGCGCGCTCTACTTATGCCGTGTTCAGACCGATCGCGATGGAGGAGTCAGGGGCGAGTGATTTACATGTTATGTCTATGGCCGGGTGCGCTCAGGAGCGAATGACAGGCCGGCGGTGCGAATGACGAGAGTAGAGCGAGGCGAACAGGGCGTTTTGAACGAAAAGAGCGGAACGAAAGTGGCGAAAGGGGCGTTTGACGCGCGCCTAGAGCCATTTCGCCTCCACCGCCCTACTCGCTCGAGTTGAAAAATCTGAACTTTTTGGTCAATTCGCGGGGCGTTGACCAATCAGGGACTGAATCGAGCAGTGACGTAGCATTGAACAACATTTAGTTATCTAACCTAATGGACTATTAATTATCTAACCCCCACCTGAAACGAGCTTATCGTGTCTAGTTTGGCATAACTAACTGATTAGTTTGGCATAAATCTAAAAGCTAAACAGTGGCACAATGGCTTTACATGTAAAGTACTTGGATTATAACATTTGGAATCTTATTTATTGAGAACCGCTTGATTTACTAACCGAAGACAGATGGACAGGCGCTCTGCAGGGGAGATAGAGCGCCTGTAGTTGGTCTCCCGGACGGTGATCCGAGCCCCAACGCGGGACAGCAGGTCCTCAAACTGGGTCCTGGACACACGGAAATACCGCTGGAATCGACCGTCATCCAGGCGCAGCTCCTGGAGCAGATGGTGGTACTCCCCATATTGGGAGCGTCTCTGGAGGATATCGTGGACCCAGAGACGGCGTCGCTGCCGCCGCTGTTCGGCTTTCCACATTAAATAAAGTATAGTGACTCGTTCCAGAAAATCAAAGCCCGCCATGCTGAGTTGAACAACAACCGGAACCGGCAACTGGCCATAAGCTCCTCCTATTGGATGACGCGGCGAGGCGAAATCTCGACGAAAATCCGCAGGCGAACAGAGCGAGTAATCGCCGCGATAGAAGCGAGTGTCATCAAATATTCAAGCGAAAAACGCCTGGCGTTTGATGCGATTTTTTCGCCTCCATCGCGATCGGTCTGAACACGGCATTACGAGGAAAGGGGATTCATCAATCTAGAGAACAGCTGCGAACAATTCAGCGGCTTACGAGTGCGTTGATGAATCCCACGTAGGGACTTCTTAGAAATCTACATAAAGACAACTTGAGAAGAAATTTGAGAAGTTTCTTACGAAGTTATTTGTGAATGAGGCCCAATGTATCTGAACTAGTCATTTTCTTTGTTTCTATTTTTTTTCTGTATATGTGTTTGTCTGCAATAAAAAGTAAAAAAAAAAAAAAATTAAATATTTTTTTTTTTTTTTTTTTTAATCGCGCGATAGAAAAAATGACGCCGTTAATATTGATTTGCGTTAACGCGTTAATAACGCGATATTTTGGACAGCACTAGTATTTACTAAGGAACAAAAGTCAGCTCAAAAACTCCATTCACAAATGTTTTAGACTAACAAACCGCTTTGCTAATTCTTGTTTTTCTGTAGCGGGGAACGATGTAAAGGACGTGTTTGCCAATGCCAGAAGTGGAGACGACTATCGGCTCGTTAAGATCGTAATCGAGGATGGTAAGATTTGAAGAACTGTTACATTATTGACACTTTTCTGACTTGCCGAGGCCACAACACGAGCAGGATTGGTGTTAACGTGTCACATCGTGGGGACATCACAGAGCAGAGGAACAACACCGATCCAGCTTCTGTCGCTTAGTTAACCCTGCCCCCGCTGATGCCACCTACTTACTTACTTGGTACTTGCATTATCCAATAGATCTGGAACTGGCAAAAATGTGATTATTTGATAGTATTGTGATAGTTTAGCCACAGTTCAATATTTTTGCGATTCTTAACACATCACGATACCGCAAGTTTTGTGATTCGATTCTGTGATATATTGCAATTCATGAACTGAAGCAAACACTGAGGAGGGAGAAGTGCAAAAACCCCATCCTTGAACATTCAGGACACAGGACCTTATTACAGACAAGACTTCCTTATTCTCACGACTCTCACATGAACGCTGAGCTCCAGAATCACTTGCATTACTCACAGACAACAGACAAAAGTCACTACAAGCAGACATCATAGAGTCCAGGTGTAATTCTCGACTTCCTTTTCAGAGCAGTTGACTTTCGGCACGTCTCGGAAAGCCTCCAAGTCTTGGGACTCGGAGTACGACCCGCTAGTGCTCCCCCTGCTGGAGGATGACGTTCCCTGTTACATCCTGTATCGTCTGGACTCTCAAAACAACCAGGGATACGAGTGGATCTTTCTGGCCTGGTCTCCGGATCGAGCCTCGGTATGACACACACAATTGAATGGATTAAGTTGGCTGTAATTCGTATTGTATTGTGCAGCACTTTGGAAGACTGTTTATGAAATGTGCTATATAATTAAAGTGGATTGGATTTGTGTATCGGCCTAAATCTCAACAGCAGTCTCCCCTTGTTTTATTACATCACGGCTACACCATCACACAGACTCAATTACTACATGTTCTAACTTCTATGGCACTATCCAGCAATAACGGTGAGCTACATACTGTATATAGAGGCGACAGTGGCTCAGTTGGTAGAGCATTGGTCATTGAGCCTGAAGGTCGTGGGTTCTAATCCTAACCCCACCTCAAGACTTTCTCCACTGATTTCTGCCATTGTTGTGTCCTTGGCAAGACAATTAGAATGAGTCTGGTGTGTGTGTGAATGGTTGGTGGTGGTGGGAGGGGCCGATGGCACAGACTGGTTGCCTCGCTTCTGTCAGTGTGCCCCAGGGCAGCTGTGGCTACAGTAGTAATTCATCACCACTGTGTATGGAGTGAATGAACAATGACATGTGACGCGTCTTTGAGTGTCCCAAAAAGCGCTAAATAAAACCGATGCATTATTATTATTATATGCATACAGACACACACACATTGTTTCTGTATTATGCATTTTGTCCCTTCCTTGTTTGATTCTTCCAAATAAGATTGTAGAAATAGACAGAGGACTTGACAAACCTTTCAATTCACCGTCAACAGATCAGAGAATCAAACTCATTCAAACCGCATATACAATAATAACAAACACATAGTAGCCGTTGGTTCATAAGGAGCTGGATGACCATAAATGTGAATAAATGTCCTTAGACCCGCCTCCATCAGAGAGGAACAGCTTGTGATTGGTCGAGACAGAAACGCAACAAACTCTGTGCAAACTGTAATGAATGGCCTTCCATACAACATGTTATTTTCTCCCCCGGTTTGGGTGGAGTAGACCACATCAGGGCATGGGTTAAGCACAGACTTGTTGAAAATCTGGACCTCTTTAAACAGATCCACTTCACGGTGACTTTCTAAAACTCTGAAACGCTGAGTTTTTAGGGTATTTTCTCTCGATGTTTTTGGTGGATGTCGTTGTGGCTTTGTTTGTGGTTTGAGTTTGGTCTAAGCTTTTGTAAATGTGTCAGGAGTGTGTCGTCTCAATACTAGTTTCAGTATTGAGTAAACTTGAGCCAGGAATTACCCAAATACAGACAGTTTATCAAATGCCCGACCAGAGAGGAGAACACTCTGGATCACTGTTACACCACCGTGCGCGGAGCTTTTCGCGCTGTTCCCAAGCCAGCCCTCGGCTTCTCAGATCACTCCATGATGCATCTGGTTCCTGCTTACAGACAGAGACTAAAGCTCTCGAAACCTGCAGTGAGGAGCTCCAAAGTGTGGTCTGATGAAGCTGTGGAAGAGCTGCGTGCATGCATGGAATCTACAGACTGGGACCTTTTCAGAGCTGCCACAGATAGTTTGGATGAATATACGGACACTGTGACGTCATACATTCACTTCTGTGACGATAGCATCATTCCAACAAGGACCAGGGTCATCTATAACAACGACAAACCCTGGTTCACTGCTAAACTCCGGCAGCTCAGGAAAGCAAAGGAGTCTGCTTTCAGGGAGGGGGACCGCAGCGGCTACAAAGCAGCTAAATATCAATTCAGGAGAGAACTGAAAGCAGCCAAGTCCCGGCACAGAGAACGACTACAGGAGCAGTTTGGTAACAACGATACTGCTTCTGTCTGGAGGGGCCTACGGGAGATCACCAACTACAAACCCAAAGCCCCCCCCTGTGCTGACGACCACAAGCTAGCTGACGATCTGAACTTATTTTTCAGTCGCTTTGATGCTGCCCCTGACACCTCTCCCTCCCCCACCCCCCACTACTCTAACGACCCACCCATCAGCCCTGCCCCCAGCCTAACAATAGCCGCTAAAGAGATTAAACAACTCTTCCTGAGGCTGCACCCCCGCAAAGCTCCTGGCCCGGACCACGTGTCTCCGGCCACTCTGAGACACTGCGCCAGTGAGCTTACTCCTGTGTTCACGGACATTTTCAACACCTCTCTGCAGTCCTGCCATGTCCCGGCCTGCTTCAAATCCTCCATCATTGTCCCCGTCCCGAAGAAGCCCAGGATCACAGGACTCAATGACTACAGACCTGTAGCACTTACGTCTGTCGTCATGAAGTCATTTGAGCGCCTGGTTCTCTCCCATCTCAAGTCCCTCACCTCCCCCCTCCTGGACCCCCTGCAGTTCGCCTACAGAGCCAACAGATCTGTAGACGACGCCATTAACCTGGCCCTCCACCACATCCTACAGCACCTGGACTCCCCGGGGACCTACGCCAGGGTCCTGTTCGTGGACTTCAGCTCTGCCTTCAACACAATCCTGCCATCCCTGCTCCAGCACAAGCTCTCCCAGCTCAACGTGCCCGATTCCACCTGCAGGTGGATCACTGACTTCCTGACGGACAGGAAGCAGCGAGTGCGTCTGGGGAAGAATGTCTCGGACTCTCGGATTATAAATACAGGAGCCCCACAGGGCTGTGTTCTTTCTCCCCTGCTCTTCTCCCTGTACACCAACCACTGCACCTCCAGCCACGACTCCGTGAAGCTGATCAAGTTCGCGGACGACACCACCCTCACTGGACTCATCTCCAACAACGATGAGTCCGCCTACAGGAGGGAGGTGGACCGGCTGGTGTCCTGGTGCAGTGGTAACAACCTGGAGCTGAACGCCCAGAAGACAGTGGAGATGATTGTGGACTTCAGGAAGAGCACTGTCCCCCCACCCCCACCCTCCGTGATGGACTCCCCCATCACCTCTGTGGAGTCCTTCCGTTTCCTGGGCACCACCATCACCCAGGACCTCAAGTGGGAGCCGACCATCAGCTCCCTCATCAAGAAGGCCCAGCAGAGGATGTACTTCCTGCGGCAGCTCAGGAAAGCCAAGCTGCCTGCACAGATGTTGGTGCAGTTCTACACGGCCATCATCGAGTCCATCCTCACCTCCTCCGTCACCGTGTGGTTCGCTGGAGCCACAGTCAGGGACAAACAGAGACTACAGCGCATTGTGCGCTCTGCAGAGGAAGTGATCGGCCGCAGCCTTCCATCGCTGCAGGACCTGTACGTCGCCCGAGCTCGAGGCCGGGCTGGTTGTATCACAGCCGACCCCTCTCACCTGCACATGGACTATTCCAACCACTCCCCTCAGGCAGGAGGCTGCGGTCCATCAGGACTAGAACCTCCCGCCACAAGAACAGTTTCTTCCCCTCTGCTGTTGGACTCTTGAACACTTCTTAACCTGTCCCCCCGCCCTTTATAAAGTCACTTTACTGCCCATCATACGTCACTTTACTTCACTGTACTGCTGTCACCTTACATTGTGTGCACCATGTGCACTTGTATATTGTAAATAGTAACTGTAACTCTATTTTAAATTTAAATTTATTCTTTAGAAGTGTTTTTTATTCTTATTTTTATTATCTCTTTTTGACTGTTGCACTGAGGCAAAGCAATTTCCTAGTCTGTGACCTCCTGTTACTTACGTGGCAATAAAAATGATTCTGATTCTGATAACACATGGATTTCCTCTGGTTTTGACACCTTAAGACGAAGACGCTGAGCTGAGATGGATGAATTGCCTTTCTTTATCCAACATTTACTGTACGGGACTCTAACCCTATGAGAATGCTGTGATATGGTTATGCAGTATATTTGAGAGGGATTATTCAAAAGGGAATTCCTTTTTACTATGTTGACATCTTTAGGCAGCTGAATTGGATCCCTGGGCACATGGCACATACTTTATACCGTTGTTTACCGCTAAATGTAATCATTTATCTTTCAACATAATTACAATATACAGCAGCACAATCAAAAGTAATACTGTCCGGCACAAAGACAACCCTGCCCTCACCTGCCCATACATCAAAAAACTTTGGACAGCCGCTTAGTTACCTGTAAAGTTGTTTTGAATAGAAGCTTTTTTGTTTTTTGACAATAGGTATTCATGTGAAACAATGCAACACGTCTCCAATAAAAAGTCCACTGGCGCAGAACAGCCCACGAGGTCTAGTGCATCAATCAAGCAGGACAGGCCATCCTGTCACATTGCACACCTGGAAATAACGAAGACAACCTGTCCCGTGTCCAGTCAAGGAAACACATCAGTGCATCGGAAGTAGGACACATCCACACATCTGCTGAAGCTGCTCTACGTCGAGCTACTGTTACGAGATACTGTACGAGGTGGTTAGAGTCCATGGACTGTTTATTTTATTCACTTTAGACAGCATAACCAAAGACTACCTATCCGAGTACTACCAAGGCCGATTAATGCTGGGTGGTTTATTTACTTCAATTTTAGACATTAAAGCAGTATTACCCATATTAACTTCTAGTATACCATGAAAAAAGTCCCAGCCACATACTGAAGAAAGGCAGAAAGCGGGGAAAACAAGGATAACATAACCGTTAAAAGATTAAGTCCTTCCTCGCTTGGTTTTAAAAATCACAATGGAGGGTCCCTGGATCAATAATGTTTTGTATTTTTAATTGTTGTTCTTGGAAAATAGTGGTTTGTTTTTATGCTTGATTCACTTTAGCCTTAATTCAATGTCTTTTAATGTATAAAAAATGATATAAAAGCCGCAAGTGCAACTACAGCCCTTGCCACTCCCCCCGTCGCTTTCCACCGCCCAAATTAATTGTTGCTTAAGCCGACCTAAGAACCCCACTTAGTGCGTGCCTCGAGTTTTTAGATTGTCATAGATCCATCTGGCCTTAAGCCCAGCCTATATATAATTTCAGAGCTAAAAAAGGTAGGTGGTGCTAGGCTAAGAAAATATGCATGTCTGAACTAATTAGGTGGCGATGACGATGACATGCTTTACACACTTTCATTTATATTACAACTTTTTTTGCAAACTCAACTATTTACAGTTCACAATTAGACCATGCAAGACTTTTCGTGAATGTCTT